TCTTTTAGTTTTTTTAAAAATCGACTGTATAAATTAAAATGGCCCACCCTGTATATATATTAGTAATAAGGGTATAGTCAGGTGTTGGTGTATATTTGTATTTATTCATTTAACAGTCTCTTAGAATAGATATACATATGTGTGTGTAATAGTTAGGTGTCATGTGTTTGTTTTTTTCATTGTGTTAAGAATCTGAATCCTCATTGTCGTCATCGATGTTGTTGCTGTTGTTGCTTGTTCGCGTGAGTCGATATAGGAGATCGCGCAATTGTTGAAACAGTTCGTCTCGCGGGCAAACAACGTTAACGATTCGTAGATCGAATGTACCTGCCGTTAGTACAGTTTTCGTAAACTCGTTGAATTTGTAAAATTGTCGTCGAGTTGTGAAATACAGATTACCGTCGAGGTATCTGAAGACTGACGTCACTCCGTTTGGTATGCCAGGAAAAGTCGACTCAATGGTGTGAAACCTGCTAATGCTGTCGGAGCAGTCGTCTATCTCACCGACGATATATCTATTGTATATATCTATTGTATAACACGTAAGACTTTCCTTTGTTAGTGTTCACGGCAGCGTCTATTTTTGCATCCATAGGAATTCCAAAGTCTTTGAGAGTTCTCGGCCACGTTGGTACTAGCGTGAAGTCTGGGTAGTTCACTTTATAGATTCTATCGTCAACGAATAGAATCAAGTGATCGGATGGAGTTTGATACGCGGCTGAAATGCGCGTGAAGTTTGAATGAATGAATGACATGTAGTGTGAAAGCAGCAGAGGTTCTCTGTAGGTCTTTCCATCTATGTCAATCACCCATATGTGTTTTCCGTACGCTACGTACATTCGTTGTTCCAACAGTAATATCGCATCAACACGTTTCAAGGCGCACAGATCCGGTGGAACGCTTGGTGTTGGCTGTGGTGGTGGTGATGGTGGTGGTGGTGATGGTGGTGGTGGTGGCGGTCTGGGAGTCGTTTTCGGTAACACGTCAGTATCCGTAGCGCCGTACAGATTTTGTATGTTTATAATGTCCTCGGTATTTAGTGTGACAGGAAAAGTACTGTCGGGTATGAATGAATACATTATCGACGTAGCGTCGTGACTATGATCTAACCCTAACGAATGACCGATTTCATGAGTCAACACGTACAGCAAATTATATTTGTTTTGTGGACCCACATCGAGATATATATGCCACTGTTCCGTCCTGTCGACGTGAACCTCCGACGTGAAATTCGACGCTCCATTGGGATAGAACGCGTGAGGCAACGTGCCGCCGGGACCGTCCAAAACGCTCGAGCACAATTCACCGTTTCGACGATCGAGGAACATATGATGGCCTTTGCGCAACGATATCAGAATATTTGGGTTTTCAACAGCACGTTCAAACGTTAGCGACGAATGTGTCTGCCACAAATCGAACGCTGCCTGAGTTGTATCCAAGAACGCTCTGTTGGCCAAGTGAAAATTCCACGTTAAGTGTCGTTTCGGCCACTTAGGTATAACTTTGCCCTCTCCGAAATTCAATATGTCACGTAGACCGCATCGCGGTTTACTTATCAGGCTTAGAGTTGCGTTGTCCACTTTACCAGTGACAGGTAATCTGTAATATTCTTGAAAGAGATTGATAGCGTGTCGAAGAACCAGCTGATCTTCACTGGTGGCAAACGTATCCATCGTCTCGTTAAAAAAACCGTATTTCTGCAGATACTGTATCGCCACTTCATTGTTGTTCTTGATGACTTTACACTCAGCGACAATATACACACATATAAGCATCGTAGCTACTGTACAGGTAACTATGATGCGTGCGAACATTGTGGTCATTGTGAAGAACCTGTGCAAAGTCGAATGATGAAATGCACATGCCTCGCGGTACAAACTCGAATAATGAAATGCGCATCTCGAGATGCCCTTTTATTAGGTTAGGGTTGGGTTAGTAGTAGGGTTAGTGGGCGTTGGTCTATGACGATGAAAGCGTTACAAAAATAACAATTTGATCCATATGTTTCGCAATATCCTTTCGAGTAGACGTTGACGCTATATATATATATATATCCGTTCGATGAGACTGTGGCGATAAAGGGGTGCATGCAGGAAATTCTTCTTTCAATGATTAAAAATAATACTTTAATTTTATGAGATCGAAGAGGACAGGAATAAAGAAAGGATAAAAAATGATTTTGAACAAATATATATATGTATATTGTTTCGTGATATGTACATTACATATATTTTTTATTGTTTAAAATTATACCTTCATAGTTTCTTTTATAATATGTATAATATTGTTTAATTTCTTCTTGTAATCTCTGATTCAAGGTTCATTCTTACGCGGTCTCGCGCTTTGAGACTATCCTCCTTGTCCAAATATGTCTCAATGCATTCTCTACAGTATACTGCTCTTTTGGTGTGCAGTAGTTCTATGTTGCATCGAATGCAGCAAATTTTTTCCTGCCACGACACATTGAATAAGTGTGAGGTCAATGCATGATACCGAGTTTTTTCAACATAGGAGTCTATCCCCATAATCGGTCGTGCATGATAACATTGCTGACACATTTTGTGCCATAGGAAGTATCGAGACACCAAAGTCGGATCGCTGGATATTTGCATGAGACAGGTGCTCTCCAACAGCAAATAATACATGTCCGCGTGATCCTGCGGTCTCAAGCCATCGATGGGACCCTTAGTTGCCGGATCGATTGATGGAGTCGGAGGTCTCATTTTTTTTCTATAAATACTTTTATTTATTTAATTTATGTTCTGTATTATTACAAAATGAATTTTTGTTTACCTCAAGTGTTTGGTCGCCTTCTCCAACACGTTTACTGACACTGGCACTTTTACTGGCACTTTTTACTCGTACTTTGAGAGTACTAAGAGTACTTCATAGTACGAAGAGTACTATGAAGACTGAGTTCGTACAGACTGTTACAGTCGCAAAGCGTCACAAAACTAACAATTAGATCCATATGTTTCGCAATATCTGTTCGATTAGACGCTGACGTTATATCCGTTCGATGAGACTATTGCGATAAAGGGTGCATATCGCAGGAAATTTTGAACTTTGAACGGTATTACGGTGACGGTATATCCTTTCGATTAGTCCTTGGTTTATGATAATCAAAGTGTTACAAATTGTCACCCATACGTTTCGCAATATCTGTTCGATTAGACGCTGACGTTATATATTATATATCCGTTCGATGAGACTATGGCGATAAAGTGGTGCGATCAGCAAGAGTGTGTGCGTGACAAGTAACACCCGAAGTGATGAGCAACATTGGAATGGGAAGAGGAAAGTAAATAAAAAATGTGACTAATGGTACAAGTATGCGTATATTTTGCAATCGGTTAAACATGTATGTAAAGGTGTAAGTATTATGTAGATCGTCCACCACCACCACCACCACCACATATAATAGTTAAAGCAGCTGTTCGCTGAATCCACCAATCGCGCAATTTGAATACGTTTGATATTGCGCAATGATTGACGTGACGTCTGCACCGCAACGAATCAACCGCGGTCAAAGTCTGTAAACGGTCGATGTCCTCAAAATTCACGTCTATGGACTTGACATTGCGAATGGGGCTGCCAAGTAAATCCTTGAGCCAATTCATCTTCTCAAGTCCTTTCACATAGATCGTTGCATTGTTTTCCAACCCTTCGCATATGGTTCGCCGTATGATGTCCTTGGCGCGGATGTACGGAATGTCTCCATCACGCCATTGTAGTCCGTGATGGTTAGCAGTTAACCAACACGCTTGAGATTTTTCGGATCTTGTCAAAAGATCCCAGACCATCGGTGCGTTGAAGACGTAATGTGTCAATACATGTTCGTCCCGCAGCACAGCCACCTCCTTCACTACAAACTTCCCGCGAACGATGAAGCCTTGTAGATCGACGAAGACTGGAACGGTGGACATGTTGAGGAGTGATCCGGAAGACTTTATGCTACACAATCTTGCGTACGACGTTCGTCAACGGGCTGTACTGAATGACTCTATCATGAATGATAAGACAATACGCTGTGGTGTCGGATGGAACGTTATCCTTGCATTCAAACTCTACGCGAATGTCCACAGTGGCGCTCTTCACAGTCTCGTTCTGACGAGAGCAATCGATCACTACGAATGGGCCGGACGTTATGAATGATTGTACATTTAGATACGCATCATCGAGCTTTCGTCCATAGTACGATCTCTGAAATTTTGCATACATGTCGTACAGTAAAGCAGACTTATTATTATCTATATCCAGATTCATATCATCATAGGGATAGAAATCTGAATTCAAATACAGTTTTACGTTGGTGAGCTTGCAATGATCGAAAGTCGAAGAGTCGCTTGTCAACACGTTTCTTCGTCCAGTCTGTAGCGCAAAGATAACGTATCGCGGTTTCTCTAGTTGCGCCGTGGTTTTTACAGCCCACGAGTGCTTGGTCGTGCTCTGCAGTAAAGGAAATTCATACAGATCCCACGAGCGAAATCCAACGCTTAAAAATCGTCCGCTCTCCAGTGTTCGCAAAAGCGACAATTTGTTAACGTCGTTCAACACAATGTGCGGCATTCGCCATTGCACCCTCGAAAGAACGATTTTAGGATTCTTAGCACTCGTTGTCGCTACGATGCAATTGTTATCGTTGCGCGCGCGTATCAAAATAAGTTCGTGTCGAGCGTTCACCACCACGCGTTTAATCCTCGCAAAAGCCTAATAATATTCTCATGGGGACGCACAGGCTGAAAGAACCGCTATCGGAAACGTTTGGCTCACCCCATCCAGTGTTCTGCAATATATCGAGCTCGTTGGAGGTCAACGAAATGTAATTCTTAATCGTGCTGGTTATTCCAACGTTACGATTTCTATCGATCTCTACGCCATTGAGCTCGTAACGTATCTCCTCGAACATGAAGGCGACGCAGTTGCTCGTAAGTTTCGACGTCTGATTCGTCGTCGTCGTCGTCGATGCCTCATTGGACAATTTTCCCTCCACGTATAGAGCGCTTTCGCACGGTAAAGTGTACAGATCCTGCTGTTGTATGGGTATTCGTACTTCATCGCTGTATCCGAACGTTGCATTGGCGTAGGGGTTGTATGTGTGAGTTTCAATCTTGACGATGCGCTCGTCGAAAATCGGCTCACCTCCGATACTCAGGATGTCGACCACCATAATTCTTGTTCCTCACAATGAATCCGAGCGATCGTAGAAACGCGACGTTCGCAGCGCTCAACAGATTTCCGTTCTCTCGTCCTCCTCCTCCTCCTCTTCCTCCTCCTCCTTTTCTTTCAACGTAGGGAAAAGACGCGTTTTCTTTTTTCACGCATGAATCACCAACAATGAGCATGGTATAACGTGTGTAGCATATCTCACGCTACACGTTTTCTCACGTGCAATCGTATCGTTATCTCTTCTCCGCGAAAATCAATCGGATGACCGTTTTGATCCACCACTCGCAATGTTATATCCGTGATGCTCCTCACGATGACCGGTAGGTAAATGATCTGCGTCGGCGTTTCCGACACCTTATATCCCGGTGGAACACTCGGGAATCGTGTATCGTATGTACTGGTTTGTCGTTGTTGTACGCCCCCGCGGTAATGTTGCATCCCACACGTATGACGTTGACACTCATGATATTAATTGGTTTGTCAGACACGTACCATTTGTTCGGTTCCAATGCACGTGTGGCTGAGAAACCTAATACGGAGCCAATATTGTTTGGTTTTGAGAAATCTACTCTGTACATACATTTTATCTCAGTCCTCATAGTATTTTCATTGGCGCGAAGAACAATGTTATATTGGTTTTCCATCTCCTCGTCATCATACTCATCGTTGTCGTACACACGATACTCGTTGAGGAAGACATCGTCATCCTTTGACTTTTCCAATCGTCTGTCGAGAAGCGCAGCTTTGAGATATCTTTCGATGGCACGCAACTCGTACGATCCTTCGGGAATGACGATCTTTTCGTCGTTCTCCCCAAAGTAAAATGTATCGTTCGTTGAATTAACGTTCGGTATCGTGTTGTAGGTCTCAAAATTTGCAAGACCCAACTCGTATTCACCGTCACTGAGATCGAGAGCGGGAAAATAGCTCGCGACGAGAACACCGCTCGTTCCCGTCAGCGTGAGCGTCAGCGACATTATGATCGAGTCGACTGAAGTGTATCTCGAGTGCGCTGGTTCTTTTTATCTAGGACGCGTCCAATCGAATTCGTAAAGAAACCGCAAACACAATTGACCGCAGAAAGTCTGATTGAATGTTTGATACGATTGATGATTGTACGTTACGTTGGCGTCCCCTAGATAGCGCGTGAGTTTTCGCGGAGGTTGAAGATTTCCAAAACTGTCAAAGTATACAACACTGTTCACATAAGCAACCCAATGTGTACCCGGACCCACCTTGTCGTCGAGATTTACGATGCCACACTCCTGACGTCGCGCTTTTACGGGTAAATCGTCACGCATGAACACCCCTCTAAAGTGTGGTATGCGTAGTTTACGCGCCGCTCGATTCAATTGTCCGCTCGTCGTGACGTCAAACATCGGTAAATTGAGCGCCTCTAGCGTCTTCGTCCACGTTTTTTTTTACTTTTCCCACTCTTACCGCTTCTTTGTCCACCACCTCCATGTTTTTTGTACGGTGCGAGATCCGCGACCCTCCATCGTCCGATTGTGACGTTGCAACTCCTCTAACTGACGTCGCGCGGCTTTATTGTCGTTCACCGCTTTTGCTACACCGGCGGCTCCACCAATCAAGGAACCAGGTACTCCCAAAATTGGTAGAATGGGCAATAAGCCTCCGCGTTTCGCCGTTGGCAATGTTCTCTTCGTCCTCTTCCTCCCCCTCGTTTTCCTTCTTCTCTTCATACCCATTCCCAATTTCGTTTTTACCTTCATAGCGGCCCATACGGCGGTCGCCGCGGTTCTCTCGCCACGGGTCGCGTCTTTCGCTGTAATACGATCGCGCGCTTTCTCAGCGAGGACTCGATCGGCGTCGTGACGATCGACGAGTTTACCGCTTCGCGAGTACGCAATGTCGTGCTCACGGCACGCCGCGTCCAATGGATTCACCCCTCGCTCACCGCGCTGCAATCGTTCGGCGAGACGAGTTCCAGGTCCGCAAAATTGATAACCGGGTACGTGTAGTTCGAAAGGAAGCGCGTTTATCGCACTGTTCAACAGACCGGCGCCTATTCGTTTCGCTTGCTTTGACATTGAACGCAATCCTTAACGAGCGGCGGTGGACCGTCAATGTGCGTTCTCTGCCAAGGTTGGTTGTAATGCTCGAGACACGCGCGATACCGTTGCACCTCGGGGTCAGTTTTCAGAGTAACGTCCAATTTATCCCACAACTGGTCTACATAGGTGCCGAAGTAGCGCAGCAGAATGTGTTTTGACAGAAAACGTAACTGTTCGGGAGACCACTCGAGAATATCGCGCCTATCCAACAGTGCGAGAAACATATATTGACGACTGCGCGAACCGACGAATCGGTCCTGTATAAATAGAACGAATCGGCGCGCAAGCGCGCATTACACGTGCCAAAATGCGATTCGTGCCACGATTACCGACGATTGGGGTGCGCAATCTTGATCGCAGAACACGAACGATGTCGGACGTTAGTGATACATGTAGACACGGCCCCTTATTACCCAACACAATACGCTGCATTATCTGTGGACCATCTAACTGCGGTAAGACTAACGTGTTGATAAGTCTATTGGAAAGTCCACACGGCATACGTTTCTCAAACGTGTATGTGTACTCGAAATCTCTGCATCAACCCAAGTATCGATACCTCGAACGTTTGTTCGATTCGATAGAAGAGATCGGCTATCACGCATTCTCGAATAATAGTGATGTCATACCCCCCGACGAGGCGCTTTCCGAATCGATATTTATATTCGACGACGTGGTCTGCGATAAGCAGGATACAATTAGAGAGTACTTTTCCATGGGTCGACACTCGAAAATCGATTGTTTCTATCTCTGTCAGACATATGCCAAGATACCGAAACATTTAATACGTGACAACGCAAATCTGTTGATCCTGTTTCGACAGCATGAAACCAATATGAAACACGTATACAACGATCACGTGAACACCGACATGTCGTACGAGAACTTTCGCGCGCTGTGTCGCGAAAGTTGGCGTTGAAAGTACGGCTTTGTGGTTATAGATAAGGACAGCGCACTGCGAAATGGTAGATACAGACGTGGATTTAACGATTTCGTCGTACTGTAGACCAACCAGAACGATGAGTACCGCCGAGCAGGAGAGAACTGTAAAAGAAATCGCTAAAACGCGGGCGTCGATTCGTAAGAAACATCGCGCTCTGAAAACTGGTAACCTGAAGGAGGAGATCGCTCTGGAGAGACATTTCAAGCCGATAGTCGAACCGTTGAAACGCATCGCCGAACGTGTCGAAAACTCATCCGATGGAGCCGTTCTCGCGAAGACAGCACGCAAGGAGAGCACCTACGATTATGGCGACGACGACGACGACGACGACGACGATGTTTTCAAAGCGACAACTCCAGACGAATCATTGAAGGTGAAAACAAAAAAACAATGGCCTATCAAGACAGCAGCCTCACCCACAATCGGTTCTACGCCAATAGAATCACGCAAGGTGATTAGATCTACACCGATAGAATCGCGAACGACTGTCACACCGTTAGAAAAGGTTACGTTAGTCCCATACGTGGAACGGGAAGAGGTGTACGAGACGGATGAGGCGTCGATCTCGCTCGAAACGTCCGCGAGAGAGACTCTGCAAACGGCGCAAGGTCATGATTTGTTGCATAGTCAATTGGGACCGTTGGGACAAAAATACGTAGGCGATCTTCTCAGTGGAGAGAACAAGAATGCGAACGATCACGTTTACGGTGTGTACGTCAGCAAGGATGGGGCTAAACTCGGTGACAAGCGATTCGACGTGGACAAGGACGATGCGATGATCATCGATGGAACGAGGTACGTCGGTACTCCCGGTCTGTACGAATTGATTTTCAAACGACTCCCCTCTTGCATACACCAAAAACGATTTGCAAACGTATAAGAGTATACTGCTGACGACAAACGCTCACAGACGCGGTCGCAGCGCGAGTATGCCGATCATGGGTAACAAGGGTTACAAGTACTGTACGATTATCGGTCCGCTCATTCGCGGTGATAAGAAAAAAGGTGCGGGTGCGACCCGCGTCCCGTCAACCATGAGAGTAACCGATAACAAAGTAGATTACGTTCACTGGGACGATCCCAACGAATTGACAGATCGTCTTCGATTGCTCGATTCTTCTCGTCTCGCTGGCAACAACGCTCACGACAACGAAATTCTATCGATAATCGAGGAGCTTCGCGAGGCTGGATTCATTATAAATTAACCTGGTTTCATCAATCGTGTCAGCAGCACGGTTCATACACCGAAGACGTCATGTATGTCAACAAGTTTGGCATGTTTCTGGAGAGACATGAAAACGATGGAATTGCATTGAACGAAACACGTTCGTCAATCGCATCCTTGCGGAGGTACGTGCTCGAAAATACGTTGAATCTAAACA